TGCGGTTCGGACGCCGGACCTGCCCCGCCCCCCGCCCCGCTTCCTTTCTCTGAGCGTCCGGCCAGGCCGGCATCTCTTCAATCGAGTTTCCTCATCTGAGAAACGGGGAGACGATGTGGGGCTCCGCCGGTAACCGAATAGGTGACTTTCAGCAGGTTCACACTTCTCAGTGCACACGCATCCTGTAAAAACGGTGATTCCGAGGGCAGCGTAGATGTGCGTTCATGTTAGCGTTCAATGAACGGTTCACGATGAGGAGCTCTGCTTTTCCATGTTGGAGGAGGAGTCAGTATGTGCCCTGGATGCATTCATTCACGCATTCGTTCATGGCTTATTTTGTGCTAGGTGCTGGGGAAACAGCAGGGAAGGAGACAGACTCAGTCCCTGACCTCACAGAACTTAAATTTTGGTGAGAGGCAACCAGTACCCACACAGGTAAATGTAAAGTTTCAAATCTGTAAGTTCTGTGAGAGAGCGACCCCTGACGTTATGTTCTGAGAGACAGAATAGAGAGGCCTGTCTCAGCCTGGAGGGTAGTGACATGGTCCGCGCAGGTAGCTAGGGTTAGCCAAGGTCTGAAGGAGTTGACCGGCGGTGTGTGGGGCTGGGAGAGGCAGAGGAACACGCAGGAGGCACTGTGGCAGGAGGGAGCACTGTGACAGTCTAGGGACCTGCGTGTGCTCCTCGGGTGTTTCAAACATGACTTCAAAGTTCTTTGACACTCTTCCCATCATCTGTGTTCCCTTCCCTACAATCTCAGGGACCTTGTGACTGAAATTTCTGTCTTTCTTATTTTTTTAACTATATTTTTATTGATTTCAGAGAGAGAGAGGGAGAGGGAGAGATAGAAACATCAGTGATGAGAGAGAATCATTGATCAGCCGCCTCCTGCACACCCCCCACTGGGGATGGAGCCTGCAACCCCCGCATGTGCCCGATGGGGAATCGCAAACTGAACTGTGACCTCCTGGTCTATGCTCAACCACTGAGGCACACCAGCCAGGCTATTTTTTTTAAATATATTTTTATTAATCTCAGAGAGAAAAGGAGAGGGAGAGATAGAAACATCAGGGATGAAAGAGGATCATTGATCAGCTGCCTCCTGCACATCCCCCACTGGGGATGGAGCCTGCAACCCAGGCATGTGCTGTGGACTGCCCTGATGGAGAATTGAACCATGACCTCCTGGTTCATAGGTCATCACTCAACCACTGAGCTAAGCTAGCAGGGCTCTCTCTCTCTTTTAACGGTCCAGAGGCAGGTAGGACAGCTTGGCTTCACAGGCTCTCCAGAGGATTGTGTTCCTTTTACTTGTGTCTCTCCATCTGTAGGATCCTACCCTCCTCTGCATGGTCCAAGCTGACTCCAACATACTTGCATTCCAACCAGTGGAAAGGGGGAGTGAAAGCTTACCCCATCCCTTTAGGTGCATGACCTAGAAGTTGCACACATCTCTTCTTCTCATGTCTCATTGGCTACAACCTATTTGTATGGCCAAATTTAGCTTCTTGTGTGCCCAATGAAAAATAGGCATTCTGTGCTTATAGGAGAAGGGAAGAACAGATATTAGGAGAAAAAAAGGGGGCGTGGGGAGAGAATCCTGCAATCAATGTACATGTCCTTGACCGGAATCAAACCAAGGACTCTTTGGTCTGCAGGCCAATGCTCTATCGACGGAGCCAAACTGGCTAGGGCCAAAGAGTTTTAAAATTTTCAGTTACTTTATTTTTCAGTTCAAAGAGTTTCATTTTGTTCTTTACGTATGAATTTGCTTAAACTTTCTATCTTTCCATTTGTTTCTAGATGGTTTGTCCTTACTTGCTGGAGCATGTTTATAGTAGCTGCTTTAAAGACTTTGTCAGATAATTCCAACAGCTGTGTACTCTCAGCATCTGTTGATTGTCTTTTCCTTTGTGAGTTGAGATTTTCATGTTTCTTCATATGTGTTAGCTCTGATCAAATAATCAAATCGATATCCCCTCCTCTGGGAAACTGACCTTTAGATCATTTCACAACTGACATTCTCTTTCACTTAGATGACATTCCATTTGCTAAGAACAGCAACTTTCCCCTCCAGACTTGCCCAGGGTCTGGACTTGCCCAGAGAATTCTCCATGGAAAAAGCCCTCCTAGAGTCCTTTAAAATTTCTGACTCCCCGTCCCTGGCTGCTGATGCCATTTTGGCTCAGCCCATCTGGTCTCCACATGATCTAATAAATTTATAATCCCTTGCCACTCTTGTCCTTGTGCATTCCTCCTTTGGTGACCCTAACAATATGTCAAGTAATATTGGAATACATCCTGAACATTTTGAATGTCATTATACAATATTCAGTCTTTTTAAACTCCTATGGAGAATGGTGATATTTTTGTTTTAGTAAGCAATGAACGAGATTGGGCTTAGGCTACATGTGGTAGTCTGAAAATGCTCCTTGGTTCAGGCTTCTGAATAACTGAGGATTCTAGTGGCTGGATCCTGAGGAGGAGTGGTGGCACAACCCAGGATGAGGGGTGCTTGACAGATATGCCTGAGAGGGACAATAATGCTGGCATGAAAATAATATTGTCAGGCAGACTTACAAATTCCTATCAGAAGCTGCTAGATTGGAGTGTCATTCTGTCATAGGTTTAGCAGGTGGGAATACATCAAGCCCAAATGGCTTGAGGGAGTTTATTATTTACATGGATGGCAAAAGCAAGATCAGCTATGGTGTTAGCATCCCTAGTCCACAAGATGATACTGAAACAAAAGGGGCTAGGTGACATGAAACCAGAATAATGGGGTCCCAATTCCATGCTGCAGTTAAGCTGTTTGACAGCCTGAAACTGGAAGGAAGGTAAGGTAGAAGGGGATGAACCCCCACCTCATCGGAATTAGGGAGGCAGATGAGAAAGAGCCTATGGCTACAGCCTTACTGGGAATAGAAATGGCCTTGTGGCAGCTCCTCTCATGACCACCTGACTTCTCATGTTCCAGGAGGATCTCGGATGTTCCATCAAGGCGTAGGTCAGCTGTGGTTAATTTAAGCCTTGCCTACATGGCCTAGGTGGACATGTGCAAAGTTGTCAGGGCACCAGAACAGAACAGTTTCCCTACAGAGATGAGCCAGTCACAGAGAAGAAGAAATATAAGGGACACAAAAAAGTTTCCAGGGTGAGGTGCGTGGTACAGTGGGAAGAGCTATGGGCAGGGAGGCAGGAGTCTGTGGTGTGCTGTCCTAGGCTCAGGGATTGAAGAAGACATGATTCCTGCCTCCCTGGAGCTTCTGGGAAGAGATTAAAAAGAAACACACATGCACACTAAGTGATAAGTCTAGGAAGAAAAATAAGAACAGGTTAGGGGATCCACCAAGATGGCGGCATAGGTAAACACCGGAGACAAGGAGCATGAGGAGCGAAGGGTATTAATTCAAATACTACACGAGGCCTTGGTTTTTGTTCAAATGTGATGGGAGCCACTGGAGGGTTTTGAGCCAGAGAGAGCCAAGATTTGATTTATCCTTTTAAAGCTTTTTTACTCTCACCAGAGCTTACAGTCTATCCGGCCTATTAACAACATGGATTCTCCGAAGGATGAGAATGATTGCCTCCATTTCACAGGGAAGGAGATTAAAACACAAACAGGGGCAGTGGCTTGCCCAGTGGGATCAGCTTCACCAGGATTGGAGCTGGGTGTCCAGGCTCTCCTAGGGCAGGCAGTGCCTGTTCTGTCACAGGTGCCTGGATCGGCCCCCCATTTCCACCCGAGGACTGGTGGCAATAATCAGCAGTGACACGCAGGAGTCCCCACAGTTGGGGAGCCTGAATCCACATTTGCAGTGCTCACACTGGCCTGAAGCCTGAAGTGCTTGAACACAGAGGGCTGGAAGGGGCAGGAGCAGGGACTCTGAGCAGAGCATCTTGTCAGGCTCAAGGATGTCCTCTCTGGACTGATTCTTCACTCTCAGGCCTGGGTGCCCTTCCACTTTCATTCCCCCTCAGAGCTTAACTCCTGAGTCTGCTGTCCTTGCCAGGCTGTGAGCTTCCTGGAGCGCTGGGAAGTGGTGCTGAGTGTGGTGGCAGTAGGTGGGGACATAGGAGAACACAGGATTTGTGCAGGACTCCGCATTGCTATGTGCTCCTGTGTGACATTGGGCAGGTGATCTTACACTGTAAAATGAGAGCAGGCCCTCATGCATCATTTGAGGCAATATACTATATTAGAATGGCCTTTTTAAAAATATATTTTTTTATTGATTTCAGAGAGAAAAGGAGAGGGAGAGAGAAATAGAAACATCAATGATGAGAGAGAATCCTTGATTGGCTGCCTCCTGCATGCCCCCTACTGGGGATCGAGCCCACAACCCGGACATGTGTCCTTGACCGAAATCGAACCCAGGACCCTTTAGTCTGCAGGCTGGTGCTCTATCCACTGAGCAAAACTGGCCAGGGCTAGAATGGCCTTTCAAGAAAGCAGCTGGCAACACAAATTCATAGTGTTAAAAATGTGCTTACTGAACTTCTGGTTGGACAAGATTATATAGACCCACTTCTCTTCTTCCCGGTTAAGCACAATGATAAACCAAGAGGCAACCTAAGGTGCACTATGACAAGTGGTAAAGGAAAATGAACTGGTTTGGAAGCCCAGGACTGAAAAAGGAACACAGAGGCAGGGCCTCTTATATTCCCCCACCCCAGTGGTCGGCAAACTGCAGCTCGCAAGCCACATGCGGCTCTTTGGCCCCTTGAGTGTGGCTCTTCCACAAAACACCGAAAAACTTCTGCGCATGGGCCACGTAGTTTCAATCACACTGTACATGCGCGCCCGCAGGTGGTATTTTGTGGAAGAGCCACACTCAAGGGGCCAAAGAGCCGCATGTGGCTCACGAGCCGCAATTTGCTGACCACTGCAGCCCACCCCATAGAAGAAGGAACCTGGACCTGGCACTTCCTCACCCCCGCCTAGCAACAGAAGGTAGCCCAGGTAGGCAGCCCTGGATTGAATGGGAGCCCCTCTGCCAGCAACAGGTGCACCCAACACTGCTGGCAAGGGGGACTGATGGGGAGCCTCACTAACAGTAAGGATGCGGGGGAGCACTCCCTTTCCCACAGGGAGACATGGGGAAGGTGAGCAGGTGGAACAGGCAGGAGGGGACCTGGCACAACAAGCAACCACAGTAGGTCTGCACTTCCCTCCCCACCAAGAGGAACATGGTGGCCAGGCCTGGGGAAACTCCTCCCACCCTCATGGCAGCTTAAGCAGAGGCCAGTGGAAGACCCTGTAACACCAGATAATCCAAGCAAATCAAACTGTCATTGGGACCACACAAGTAGGCTGTGTGCTAAACCTAAACAGGGTGATTGCCTGCTAAAATAAAGGATTTAAATAGAACCCAGAGTGAAAATCACCCATAAAAATAAGAATAAAAATGTCACAACTTGAATGAGAACACAATCAACCAACTCCAACATTGAGATGAATTAGATGTTAGCCCTGGCCAAGCAGCTCAGTTGGTTGGAGCATCGTCCTGATGTGCCAGGGTTGCAGGTTCAATCTTCGGTCAGGGCACATACAAGAATCAACCAATGAATGCATGAATAAGTGGAATAACAAATTCTCTCTCTCTCTCTCTTCTCCTAAAAAATCAACTAAAAACATAAAAATGGAATTATAGGACAAGGGTTTGAAAGCAGCCATCATAAAAATGCTTCAACAATCAATTACAAATCTCTTGAAACCAGGAAAAATTAGAAATCTCAGTGATGAAATACACATTATAAAAAAAGAGCCTCTGTTAAGAACTCGTTTAATTTAATATAGATACAGATGGTTACATATAGTAATATTTATGGATATGTGTATACTGTGGGTTAGTAGTCAGGTATATATTTCTTTACTCTGTTAGCTAAGCGGTTCTCAACCTGTGGGTCACGACCATCGGAAAACACATATAGCATATCAGATATTTACATTACGATTCATAACAGTAGCAAAATTACAGTTATGAAGTAGCAACGAAAATAATTTTATGGTTGGGGGTCACCACAACATGAAGAACTGTATTAAAGGGTCGCGGCATTAGGAAGGTTGAGAACCACTAGAAGAAAGACACCCAAAGAGCAATGAGCTTGCCTGGTGCCCAGATCTTGGTTTCCCATACAATTCTCCAAGTAAAGAAACCAGGGCTGATTCTAGGACTGGGATAGGAAACATACAAGATGAGCCTGGAGCATCTTGTTGTGCTGGAAAGTAATAAAGTGCTCAAAACAAAGAAACAAACAAAAAACCCCAACCAAATAGACGAACAAAAAGTGAGGACCTGGTACAGGAAGCTGGGAGAGGGCAGGCGGGCGAGACTGGAATGTTCCAGAAGATGATGGTGGAGACTGTGAAGATGGTGGTGGTGGACATAGAAGTGGAGGTACTGGTAATTGTGCAGATGGTGGTAAAGGTGATGGTGACGGAGGAAGTGGTGGAAGATGGCAGAGATGGTGGAGGATGAGGTGGTGCAGGTAGTTTTCACGGTTAGGTGCATTTCTTCTTGTGACCACTTGGAAATAAACACCTTATTATGGGATCCTCTGACCCTCTTTAAGAAAGGGGCATATTTGAGGTTTTGTAGTGAGACTATATTGAACTTCTTTGTGAATCACTTATTTCCTTGTGTCCACCCCTTTGATTGTGGTATAGACCCCAATGGCCCTCACTGAAACCACCTGACAGAGGTTATAATAACTTGGCTCTTGACCTAACTCCTAAAGCCAAGGGTTCAGGCAGTCAGGGGTTCAAATCTTGGCTGTACAGGCCTTTTATATGGTGTGGACCTCACCATGCTGAGCCTGTGTATTCCTCCATAAAATAAGCTAGGCATGGTACCTTTGGGTTGTTGTCAAACTACACGAGGCAAGATACATACAGGGCCTAGCACAAAATTGTGCTCAAATAATGGCAGCTGCTGTTATCATTAGTAGTGGCTGAAGATCTGGTCCTGGCATTGAGGGTGTTAGGTGCTCAAGATGGAGGGTGACTGGCCCTTAAACTTCTGAGTCCAGTCCTGTCAAGGTGGGGAAGGTGCCGAGGCACCCCCTGCACACCTTGCTCTCCCACCCCACATACATATCTGCTTTGTTGTGGGGGTATATTTTTGTTGTGGTTGTTGTTGTTGTTAATCCTCAACCGAGTATATTTTTCCACTGATTTTTAGGGAGAGTGGAAGAGAGAGAGGAAAGACAGAAACATCGATGTGAGAGAAACACATTGA